GCCATAACTGTAAAGCTGAGAATTGTAGATGATGTATTCTAAGTGTGGTTTGTGAAAGACCACCCCAATATCAGACCCAGATTCAAAGAAAAGACTTTTGCCCTCCTATATCAAACGATTCCTGAATAAATACACAATTTCATATGTTAAGTTAAAAGCAAATGTTTATAGTATGTATGTTCTTTTGTTTTTTTGTTTTTTAAAGACTCTTCATTTTATGTAAGTTTTCCAATCAGCTATTCAGCTCTCCATCCCTTGTGTGGAAGCTAAGAGGAACCTTCCTGAATAAGCTGCTATGTCGATGCAGGATTGTACTGAGGTGTGCTTTTCATAAACAAAGAAGGCACAAGAGCCCATTGTAAAAAGAGCCCATTTGCTAAGCTCCAGGTAGCAGCCGACAGACCCGAGGTTTGAGAAATAATGTTTCTTTCCAAACAGAGTTTAGGACAATTACCTCAAAGTCCTAACCTGAAACACGCAGTCTGGGGAGTGGCTGCAGTTGTCATCACAGTCTCATCACCTCAAAGGCCTGGAGAGGTCTGCACTGGGGCCCCCTCCTGGCCATACCCACATCCACAGGTCAGTCCGCTCCACAGCATCTGATCCAGCGTTCACAGAAAGCCTGCTAACACTAGGCAATTCTGCTTTGAAAACGCTTTGCAATCTTTTCTAGAACAAGTTCGCTCCATGCTTTATTAATACATTACAGCCCCCTAGGAAATGAAACATTTCACAATTACCCACAATGGAAGGGGCCTGATTCCCATTCAACCTGTCTGCTTTAAGAGACCAGGTGTCGCATAGAACACACCTGAGTGGTTTCTGTTATTCTGCACATTAAAGAAATAAGAACCACTGTTGACTACTGAATAAAGTTAGAAACAGCCATAGTAATTCCCACAGATTTTCAGGTCAACTAAAACATAGCCAACTGCAGAAAACCTTGCTGGGAAAAGCATTCTTTATTGTGTAAGCAGTGGACCTGCGGAGCAGAATGTTATATTGTGAATATGCTGCAGAAAAGAAAAGACCTGAACGCACGCCTGCACCCAAAGAGCCTCGACAAAACCAGTTCCTGGCCACACCAAGGACGGAGAGAGGCGGCAGCTTGCACATGTGGAATCTACTTCATTGACCAGCAGTGAGAATCCTGCCAGCGCCACCAACTGGGCCGTCTGATGTGCTCTCTGCCTGCAAGACGGCATGAACTGTACAGTCACTTAGTATGTTTTTCCTAAGGTAAAAAGTTTAAAAGATTATTAACTCCGACACGACTTATAGAATTACCCTGCAAATCATCAGCTATTTCCTCCTCATATTGAGTCTGAGATACAGGAAATTAATCCGCCTCCACGGTTCTCTCACCCCATTACTTATCGATAAGCCTATTTCCTTTCATTCTTCTCCAAGTTCTTTCTCATTCCTGATCTTTGCCTTCCTCACCTCCTTCTCTGACTTGCTTTGCTTTCCTTTATGTCCTACACACTGCAAAATTAAAATGAACAAATAATAATAATAATAAAAAAACCTCTTGAGTTGAATATAGAGTATAGACAAAGAATTCTAAAGCTGGAAAGGCTATTAAAGATGCAATTCAATTCCTTCCATTATCGACCAGAAAACTTAGGTGCCAAGCGATGGCGGCTGGTTCTGGCAGAATTCTTCGGCTCTGGTAGATTGCACTTGGAGCGCTCCAGTTGTTACTGGTGCAGGCCTCGCTGAAGCAAGGACCATGCTACCTCTTCAGACTCACCGAAGGCCTTTCCTCCAAAGAACAGCAAGTCTGAGATGTCATGTGTAGAACTGCTCATCAGTTGGGTGCTGTTTCAAACATCTGAACATTCTAAAATCTCTGTTTATCATCGGTATACTCCAGTGACATCTCTATCTCCTCAATTTTGCAGTGACACCGAGGCACAGCAAGGACTTGCGTGAGAACTCAGTTCGATAAGATTTCTAGGGTGCATCCTCACTGGAAGGAGTTAAATGAGCACCTCCATAGGACGCACACTTCTTAATCCTCACATTTAAAATGGCCCAGAACTCTCAGGAGAGTAATAATAAAAAGAGGGAGGGTACAGCATGCTAGGACAACGTGTCATTCTTGTCAGCACCCTGAATCCTGTGTGGATCCATTCTCTTTGGGGGAATGGACATTTTCCCCTTAGTTTGAAACAAGAAAAAAGTCATCTTTTGAATGCTCTGAACATTTCCCCTCCTCTATTTATTTACTTACTTACTTCATATTTGTCTGAGTCACTTCCTAATCTTCTTCCTGGCTGTTCTTATCTAAGAGATAGTCTACCTTTGGCCTAGGAATTTCTAGAATTAAGTTCATGGTCGAAGTGCTTTCCAAACAAAAAATTTTATATTGTGGTGCAAGTCATGAAAAATATTATAGAGAGCTCCTCAATCTTTCATCTGCTGATAACCTCCAAGGGATATTGTATTCATTGCTTTTCTTTTAAATAAAAGATAAGTTTTGCTATTAAGAAAAGGAGTGAAATTATACTAACTTCTCCTCTCATCTAGGGTCAAATAGGCAACGAGGGGGTTCTGTGCCACTGGGCAGCCAACATTCGTTCAGATCATGACGATTTGCTGAGAGAAAGCACTGAAGACAGAGACAATCCTAGTCATTCTTTCAAGCTGACTAAAGTCAACTTAGCGCCTTCAGGGCCTGAAATCACTCTACCATTCCTTAGCAGAGCCACAACCTCCTGGTACAACATGGATATCACACGGGCTATAGAGATTCCCCCTGATGTTGGGGTATGCTGCCACAGAATGGAGAGGCACTAAATGTGGAGATTTGACACAAAGATGAGGAAGGCATGGAGGGAACACCCTTAATTTCAGCCACTGAATCAGAAATCAAAGCAGGAATCTGGGAAAAAAAATGAATCTAAATCTTATTTCCTCTCAATCTAAAAGAATTTTTAAAAGAGTTTTCTAAGAGAAGAAACTGCCACCAAGGGTGTAGGAGTCAGACTAGCTGTGGTCTGCGACTGGTCTGAGAAAGGCTAACCCTTACCCAGATGTCCAATAAAAACACTTAGCAAGTATCATTTCCATAAGGCTTTGTCTACTCGAAACACAAGCCAATTGTTTGGGTCCCATTTATGAAGCAAGGTCTTACCAAGGTTATAGGGTAAGGAGGCCTGATGACAACTAAATTGCCTTAAATGGAGCTCAAAATACCACCTTAAACATTCTCCTCTCCCAAGAAATGCTTAATCATAAATCAAGGGGCTCACAACATATTAAAAATGACAAATAGAGCAAGCACTTACATCTCATTTTTTTCTTTTAATTCACCAATGCATCAAAGATTTCTGAGGGATATTATTCCACACGAAAAAAAGATAAAGTGTACCAGGAACGCAAGATTCCAGGGATAAAAGAGGAGATTAAAAGGCAAATGGTGGACCAGACTTAATGCTGAAAATTATTCTGAAAATAGACATACTCATTTTAAGACAAGGACATGAGGACTGTCTGTTCTGAACTTGTAAGGAATGGTGAATCTCATAGTAATGGGACATATGTTTTTCATCTTAGAAGAACGTATGAATCCATTTTAATGCATTAAAGTTCATGGGTACTATTTGTCCACAAGTAAGCTCCCCTCACCCTTTCCTAACCATGCAAACTTTAATAGGGATTTAATTCAATGGGGAAAAAAACAGTAATGTTTCCTGAATTACTATTAGGCTAGCTTTAGAAGGAATTTTAAAGCATGTGCTAAATGAAACTTTCTGTCAAGAATCTTTAATATTCTAGTACTTTTGAATAACAAGTTTTCTTATAGCCCTTTCTCTATATGTAGAAATTAATTCTCAGTAATAAGAATTATTAAGTGCCTAACCCAAAACATAAGTTTGTCTTGACCTGGAATAGATTAGAAAGCAAATCAGGCAGAAAAGTCCAGCCTGACAAATTATAACACACGTCCTCAAAAGGCCCATGTTCGGAATATTTGGAGAGCTCTGGGTGTAAGGGAAAAACAGCAAACTCCGGGAACAACTCTTAGTTCTTCAACCTTTCCTGTTGATTACAGATACCTAGAAGATTCAAGCAGTTCTAAAGGCAGTGAACTTGATTTGTGCTTCACAGCCCTTTTCAGTCTACTTGGAAACATCTGTTTTTAATTGTGTTTGAATTTGAAAACTAATTTCGGGTGAGACCGGGTTCAGGCTCCAATCAAGTTGGAATTGAGAGATTATTGCTTAGCCACAGATCCCCAAATTCAGGGAGTCTTGAAGCCACGGATATCACACTTTCTGAACCCAAGCACGAGACACATACATTTAGAAATGAAAAGGGACTGCCTAATTCTCTCGGGGAGACTTCTTTAAGGCCATGATTTGGGTTTTAGGTTACAGCTTTCAGACTCAGGATTCCATTTTGGCAAAGGTCAGCTGGAGGACAGTACCCTCCCATGAATTCCAATACATGGAGCAGGAGATTAAGCATTCATATGATCAAATCAAAATTTTAAAAAAAGTCTTTTTGGTTGTTCATTGAAGAAATCATAAATCCACTCTACTCCCTCAGTTTGAAAGAAATCAAAACAACAATTTCCCTGCTGTGGTCTTGCAATGGGGAGGTGCTCTCCTCTGACCCCATCCTACTAGGAGGGTGAAGAAAGGAGAATGACTCAAGAATTCCCCTCCACAAGGGTTTCAGGACAGCCTTTTCCCTCTCTGGGACCTAATTAGGACAGGGGCTCAGGAGTCGTTCTCAGCCTGTCACTCATTCGCAATGTATTCCTAGGCTCCCTGCCTCAAAGTGTCCCATGTTAAATGAGGCTCTTATTTATCTGTTTCACAAAAACATTTTGGGAGTAATCATTAGCAATCTATCACAAAGTACTAAAATCATGAGAAGCTGCTGAAGTGCAAGAGGCTGTTTCGATTTTCTTTAATAGCTGAGTCCAAAAAATAAAAGTAAAATTCATGCCAAGAATTCTTAAGTGATTATGTTTGATACTCTGTTTGTTAATCCAGAACATAAGCCTTGGGTCTCTCACTCTGCAATTCCAAAGGACAACTAGCGCCAGTTTTATCTAGCTGATCAACGATAAGTTCGCCTTTAAAAACAAAAACAAAACAAAACAAAAAACACTCAAAAGTATCAGTGAGTAAAAGAACATAGAAATACAATATTTCAATTTGACTACATAACTATTATAATTTTTAGATTTGTTCCCTACATTCAAAGGATGTGGGTTTAAACACTATTGTTACAATTCATTAAATCCATTAGCCAATTATTCCAGATGTTTTATTTACCATAAACCATTAACTCATAAGATTTGCTTTATTGACAGAAGGCAGAACACCAGTTATCATTTATGAATTCTAAGTGTTCTCTATAGAGATTTTCAGAGGTGGTGCCTTTTCTTAACACCTGACATGAAAATCTAACTGGAACTTAATATCTAAAAATGCTTAATATTGGTTCAGATGTTTTTTTTTTTATCTGATGAATCAAAGATAACCAAGAAACTTGCATTTATTGATCCCCTGCTAAAATGCTAATTACCTAGGAGACCTTGGAAAAGAGAAAGCTTTCCTTATAAATGAAGATCTCAAATATAATAAGTACCCCTATGAGTATGAGTTGCATGCAATATTATATCCTGCCCCTTTCTCCACTATTATATATTACAAGAATTTCTTCATGTCATTAAAAATTCTTTATCAACATTTTAAAATCACTTCAGAATATTTCACTGTATTGGGCATTTAGGTTGTCCTCAAAATTACAGACAACACTATGATAAATTTCTGAGCATATACATCTTTTTTCATTTTTCTGGTAATTTCCTTAGAATAGTTATCTAGATGTGGAACCCATACTTTTAAAGCTCTTATACAAACTGTTAAAATGTCTTGCAGAAAGGCTGTAGCAATTTATATATCTACTCAGCAGCATATGGTTGTGCCAAGCCCTGCCCTTATCAATTTGATTCCTATGATTTCTATATATTTGCTAATTTTATTGATTAAAAAGTTCTCTTATTTCCTTTTGCATTTATTCAACTTCTATGGCAGTTAAATTATTTTTCATGTATGTGCTAATCATTTCTATTTCTTCATTTTTCTGTTTTTGAGTCTTAGGTAAGTTTTTCTGTTTGACTATTTTTTCTTCTCGGTTTATAGAAATTCTTATATATATTCTGTTATTCACCATAGTATTTTCTAATGTGTTCTTTATGTTTTGATTTCATATCTATATTTGATGCCAGACATGTTAAATATTTATAGTTAATTCTGTAACTGTTTTCCCTTCTCATGCACTTCTCATCCATTTCTTTCAGAAAGTACTAAGATTTAAGATTTAAATGTATTTTATGTGTAATGTTGATAACAGTTAAATGCCCTTTTAAATGCCATTTGGCACCTGTCTCTTAGCTCCAATATTTAATTTGAGGCTAGTAAATGCTTACCTACTGTGCAGCTGCCTCTTGGGTTCATTTTCAAGGCAATTCTGAGAAAGAGACCATAATAATCTCCTCTGAAGAAAGTGTAGTTTCCACAAAGCTTCTTGATTCTGAGCCTGCAATATGCTTCCTTGTTGCTGATTACTGATTTATTTATTCATCTTGGTTTAGATGATATATAGATGATAATAGATAGATATAGATAGATAGAGATAATTGTACCTTTTGCTATACTTTATTTCAAAATATTTACAAATATGTAAAAATATTTAGACCACATGGAAATTCAAAAACATTAGAGAAAAATAATATTTTACTTCCATTAAGCCTTCAGAAATTTAGTTAGAGGTTTTAATTTCTAGGACCTGACAGAACAAAAGAATATATAACTAGAAATTGAAATAAACCATGAATGGTTAAAAATCAACAAGATAACTGTGGTATTCAAGTTGGGTTCTGTCTAGCTTGCTACAATGAAGTATATTAGCTGCAAAGTGCAAGGGAATAAGACTTCACAAGTTGAACAATCACAATATCTATGCAAAATGCTTTGTACATTTTATTGCGACTTCATTTTGCAGGTGTTAATATGCAAGTTCATCAAAACAGATTTAGACAACAATTCTGATGGATCTATATTCTGCTGCCTAAGCTGAAAGGAGCTTAATAAACAGCAGCAGCAACAACAAAAAAATCTGACAAGAATCAATTTGACACTGTGACTTCCATGTTGCAGGTCCCAAAAGCACTCCTCAGAATTCCAAGGTACATCTTTCAAAGGTAGACAAAGAAAGATAAGAAGCACTTTTGATTGATCAGAGCAAACAGAGCAAATAATGTACTTACATTTCTATATAGTTGGGGGACCCAAGATCCCAAGTAGAATATACAAGATATACAGCCACAAATAAAGCCTGACATTTCAATTATGCCAAGAGTATCCTAAAAGCAAGAACACAGAAAGAATAATAGCATTAAAGTTCAATCTAAACATACATTAGCAACTAAATATTTTAAGGGAAACTGAGAGTCATTAGAGAAAACTGGAATGAAAGTATTTTTTTTCTGTGTCCTTGTAATTTTGGAGACTAATGAATATTAAGCACCTCTTTCTAAGATGGGTAGTATTCCCTAATCAGGTAGCAAAATCACTTATCTATCTGCTCGCATATACATTGTTTTGAATAATGACAATTTAAATTTTTTTCCAGATAACTTCAATACAGGTTTAGTTATCTGTTCTCCATCTGGATTTCTGGTTCAGTCCTACAGAACCCCTCCTCTGCCTGTAGTGGGTGCCAGCAGGGAAGTTCACTGGTATGGTGAATCTCTTCCCTTTGGGTCAGGCCTTCCTGCCCACCAGCCTCTGTTCCATGCAGGAAGAAGGTGCTCCCTGGATTTTCACTTATCTGGTTCTTATCAAGCCCCGAACAATTCTGATATACTAAAGTTCACTACTCGTGAAATCCCAAAGGCTTGAAGTTTCTTAGATGTATTTCACAAAGTTAATAAAAATTTCTTCTTGAATTCTTTTATTGGGAGAACATGGAAGGGGTGGGTATAGCTTCCCAGCACAGCCTCATTTCCTTCTTGAAATAAATATTTCCTAGACTAACTTCAGTACATCTACAATAGAGGTTGCAAAATTAACAACAGTGAAAAACTACAAAAATATTTTAAAGCGACTCCAAAAATGGATCTAAAAGAAAGAGTTTATGGCTCCGAAATGATTACCTTTCTTGCTTCTGTTAAAGTCTCATGTCAAATTTTCACCAATAATAGACTTGATATTGCCACTGACAGCACAATAAACACCAGTACCCAATCACACATCAGTTCTTCATGCTTCTATGCCCTAGTGCTTGAAAAACAAACAAGGCAATGGTGAACAAGGGGCACCAGCTACTGAACTGATACCCATTGGCACCCCGAAAGAAGTTATGGCAGCTAAATAGCACTTATGTGGCATTTAACCTTCAGAGTAGTCGTGTTTCCGGAATGGATCCGCAATAAAAAGTAACCAGGGAAAAAATATGCCTTTTACTCAGAACTCAGGATCACCAAGTGCACCCAAAAAGAGGATAGCACTTGATGGATTGTGATGATTGGCTGGTTCAATTATAGGAAAGCAAAATACTCTTTTAATTGCCAGCTACACATTTATAAGCCTCCATTCTAGTGCTGACTGGCTTTGGGAGGGGACAGCAGACAAGAAAGGAAAACACTACGCAGATGAGGTAGGAGGGAAATGCAGACTAGATTAGAGATTAAAAGTGATGTTAGTGGCAGCAGTAGCCAACAGAAATTAAAAGGAGTAATGGGGAGAGCGATCCAGTTCTCATGGAAAGAGAGAGGCAGCTAAAAGGCCCACACTGGAGACAGATAAAAAAAGCAAAGTCACCAAGAGAAACCAAGAAACACGTCAAGCAAGGGTCCTGTGATGGGAGAAAGAGGAATCATGTAATCAACAAATTCTTAATAAACGCTTACATTTCTAGGAATCAGAAATGTAAAACTGAATAATTCATGCTGGTGCTCCAAGATGTTATAATGCTATTAAGTCATTACATCCTCAGGACCACATCCCATTTATCTGCATCTAGATCAAAGTTAAGTCAGCAGTGCCAATAAAGGGACATTTTGGAAAGCTCTCCAAGGAATAAAACAAAAAGCAGCTGGTCCATAAACCATTAACTATACAGAATAGAAGGGCTCCTTCTCCGTGGGCACTACTGGCTATGTTCTTGCTCCACCAAGTAATAATAAAAACATGAGGACTTCCAGGAGTGATGATCAAATTGAACACCCTTGTTTAGAGAGTTAGGAAATACTGGGATGTGGAACCTTAGCAAATGTGAACGGCAAGACCAAAAAATAAACAAAAAAATACAGAAACCTATGTTTAAGTAGAAAATTTGATCTCTTATAAATCATAATATTATCCAGCATGGGTTGATGGAGGCAGAGTAAGTTCATACAGTTTTAACCTCTATATTTTATTTTCAATTTTTAAAGTTATGTTCCATCTGTATTAGGAAGGCATCAGGAGACACCGGATGCTCAGACATCCGATTGCAAGATTCGGGGTAAATCATTGCCACTTGCTTAACATCAGACTGATGAAGCATTCATTTAAAAACGTTTGTGGAGTTGTCACTTCAGGGGGAGAACTCGTGGTTTCTTTCACATTACAACCACATGTTAAGACAATAGACTTCGATAAAAAAAAATTACCTTCAAACACACTTTGTATTTGGGGGATTTGCTTTATCCCTTAACACTCTGGGTTAGAGAGACCATTGAGCACACGTTCCTTGGCAAAACTTAATTTTCTTTTGAACCCTGCATTGACCTCAAGCTTAACATCATTTCAGATTTAGTGTACTTTGCCCACACAAGATATTGCAGCTAAGCAAAACTCTGTTCTGGAAACCTCATAAATTGTATGAGCTGCTCAATGTAGGCCTGAGGGAGTAAATGGAAGGGACTACCCTGTCATACTGTTTTAGACTCTTTGCCATAGAAATTCAGGGTTAGTTCTAGATCGATTGAACTAGTTATGATGGTGACTATATATGTATACACACACACACACACACACACACACACACACACACATATACATCTTGCCATTTTAGTGACCTCCTACCAAGTGGTCCCTTTACTTTAGTTCTTGATGTTCACGTTTTATTTAATATACTTAAAGTGGGTTTGGTGTTGGGGGTGGAGGAAGGCACGGGGCAGGGGGAACTGACTGGGTGCCCCCTGCCTTCCTCAGAACAGCACCCAGCGGGATGTGGAGTTGAGTTTGTGGGTTTGAGTAGCAGCTCTCATCCATGTCGTAGTTACAGCCAACAGGGGGCAGCAAGAAATGTGCCCCATTGGTTTCAAGTAGAGAAACGGGTCCACTTTCACTGACACAAAGCTAAAAACACATTCTGTTTTGTGCTGTCTCATAAATAAACAAGTGAAAACAAACAAAAAACCACAAGTTAAACAATTATTTCAACAAGCAGTAATCAAAGCCAAAGTAAAAATAATATTGAGTTATTCAACAAATGTATATTGAGGGCCTAATCTGTGTCAGCCTCTAAAGATAAAAATAGTACCTGTTTATCAGCGGTGTGAGGATTAAATGAGTTACAGCAGTACTGCAAACAGGAACTACATGCAGTTATTATTTGAGGGAGGATGTATTTTCAGAGTGGCCGAGAAGGGACACGTGGTACTGTTTGTCACTTATGGAAATCTGACTGTTTGAGTTTTCCTGCCAATCTTTCTTTTACTATAGAAACCAGTTTTTTTCTGATTTTATCATTCCTGTTCATTTTTTGATCAAACAAACCAATTAAAATAAAAGCCAATAACATGGAATCTAAATGTGCCACATGCAAAAATTCTCGAAAGGCTTATTGGGATGATAAAGAGAAGTGTTATCTCTTATCAAAGTATGCCTTATCTCATTAAAAATAACTCCAAAATGTTCTATTCGTTTTTAAATGTCAATTGCAAATAGAAGTATTAAAATACACTCTTACAGATCTTACATTTTTCCTTCAGATTCTTTAACTTATAGTACATGAATTGTGAGAGCATGATTACATTCTGGTTGGTGCGGAAGGTAGCTGTAAAAATCTGGAGTGGTAAATAAGCATAGACATTTGTGAATTTAAAATCCAAAGCTATCATTATCCAACATCTATAATGTGGTGCATGAAGGTGATAAAGTCATTTACATGATTAAATACATTAATAAGATGTTTTAAAAGCTTACAAATCTTCCACTTTAATTTTTTTTTCTATTTGAAGATTGTCGTAGAAATGTTCGCCTGTAGCCACTGACTATATTTTTAATGATTACTCTCATTGTGGACTATCTGTCAGCATCTGTGGATCATTCTTCAGCTTTCTTTATACAGAAAAAAATAAGATATCCCCTACTGGCAACAAATCATGTTCAGCTACCTTGAGGCAAGAAAATATTAAAACTAGATGAAGATAAGAAATAAAAACTGGAGGTAGAAACTGCAAAGTTATCATCTGAAATGCAAACATATTTTAGTTGTGCTTTTTTTTTAATTATTAAATTTATTGGAGTGACATTGGATAATAAAAATTACATAGGTTTCAAGTGTACGATTCAGTAATACATCATCTGTATATTGAATTGTGAGTTCACCACCAAAAGTCAAATCTCCTCCCATCGCCATATATTTGACCCCATTTATTCTTACCTACCTCTTCCCTTTTCCCTCTGGTAACCACTAACCTGTTGTTTGTGTCTATGAGTTTTTGTTTGTCTTGTTCATTTGTTGCTTTATATCCCACATATGAGTGAAATCATATGGTACATGACTTTTTCCATCCGACTTATTTTACTTAGCATAATCTCAAGATTCATCCACGTTGTCAAAAATGGCAGTATTTCATCTTTCTTATTGTTGAGTAATATTCCATTGTATATATATACCACATCTCCTTTATCCAATCATCTATCAAAGGATACTTTGTTGTTGTCATGTCTTGGCCACCATGAATAATACTACAATGAACACAGGGGTACATATATCTTTATGGATAAATGTTCTCCATACTGTTTTCCATAGTGGCTGTACCAACGGTGTATGAGGGTTCCTTTTTCTCCATAACCTCTCCAACACCTATTATTACTTGTCTTTTTGATGATAGCTCTTCTAACAGGTATGCAGTGGTATCTCATTGTGGTTTTGATTTGCATTTCCCTACTAGCTAGTGAAGTTGAGCATCTTTTCATATATCTGTTGTTGTTTTTTTTAAAAAAGAATATCTGAAAACAGACTCTATTTTATTTTAAATAAGTTGTAATATTAAGAGAGTTGTCAGATAAAATACAGGATTTTCATGTAATATTTAAGGCATGCTTATACTAAAAAATTAATCATTGTTTATTTGAAAGTCACATTTAATTGGGTGTCCTGTATTTTCATTTGATAAATCTGGGAAACCTATGTATAAGCCATCTACGCACACATAACACAGAACCTTCACTCTTTGAAGATAAATACTGAGAAAGATTTACCTGAAGAGGCAGTCGATTAGCCAGGTAGCAGCCTGTGAAAATTTTTAGGTCCCTACCTATCAAGCACAGCAGAAAGCCCAGAGAAAGTGCTTTTTCCACTTGTGTAGGCCACATTGAGCTGGTTGCAAAGTGACAATTGACAAATAAATATTTGGAACATAGAACTTAATGTGGCAACTCAGTACCAGTTACAAACAAAACTAATTATGTACAACAATGAAACAACTCATTCACTCCCAGTCAAGGCTCTAGAACTGTTCTCTAACCTTCATTTATGACAAGCGGCAAACATATTTAATATCTAAAAGAAACACAGTGGCAATCCTAAAAATCGACTTGCCTCTTCTCTCTGCTTTTCTTTTGACTCTTTGTATGGAAATTCATGTACATGTCCTAAGTACATACTATGTTTTCTTGGCCTTATAATGGAAGAAGATACTAAGTTAGGTAGAGAGATTAGACATATTACTAAAACATATATAAGACCACAGTTTCAAATTTCCTATCGGTGGTTAGATTTTAAACCAGCATCTTTTTCAAACAAAATATTTCTCATCAAATTGCCCATGCGCACTAGTATAAATAGGGAAATAAATGCAAAAATTTATTTGACTCTCCTGTGGCATAGTAAAAAAAGCTTGGGCTCTGGGGTCCAAAAGACCAGAAGCCATAACTTGTCACCTATGGGAAATAAGACAATTACTTAACCTCTCAGAACCTCCAGTTTCTGTATCTATAAATTGAGATTAAATGATGATGATCACAATGTAGTGGTAGAAGAGGGCATCAACCTAAGTCTCCCCAGCTCCAAGTGAATCTTTCAGTACCACATAGACTACCTAATAATAAATATTCCCAGCACTCAGATCTGAGACCATAAACCTCGATACTGAGTCATTCCTCCAGTAAGTGGTGATGAAAGATATTCCAACATGATTTTCAAAATACATTTCCTTATGTTTCAGATTTCCAGTGCATCTGAGGACTGACTGTATTCTGTACTTTTCTATCATATTTTATAAACAAATGACATATCTAGGCATTTTACAGTTTCCCTTGCTTGAGATTATTTCTATAGTGGATATGGTTGGTGTCTGACTTCTAATTATAAATAAACTGAGCAAAGAGTTTATTTGCTCTGTGAAACTAAACTTCTTAGACCCTTGAAAGCAATCCCCTTGTCCACTACCAGAAAATAACATAATGTGATAACTAACCAAAGACTATTTAAGTATTGCTCTCATCAAAGAACATATTCAAAAAGAATTTAACATAGATAGTGAAGAGATAAAGTACATGTGCTTTATTTTAATGTATATTTTTTACTAAATAGAAAAGATTTGTATATCTTAATCAAGAAAAAAGCAGTCAGTGCAACATAATAACAACCTTGCTACAATATTCCAAAATATTTTTGAAGGATGCTTTTCTAGTACATTCAAAATATACAACACAAATAGAACATTTATTTAATAGTAAGCCCAATATTAATAGTTCAAAATATTTAACATATTTAAAATAAGAATATTTAAAATTTAAAAGAATATTATGGATAATAGTATTAAATTATGAACTTGAAATCCAAGATTCTTAACCTATAGTAGAGTAACAAACAGCAAACAACAGAAATCAGGCCTGTAAACATGCTCCAGTCTTCCCAGAAGTTGGACACATGTTCTTGTAGGAGATGACAAATCCATGATGCCCCATTCATACAAGCCTTCCTGTTCTCTACTGAAGAGATGCTGGCAGCAAGCAAATGCACCTGCAATTCTATCATTAAAGCATGGATAATCAATGGTGGTATTTTCCAAGAAAATTCAATTTAATATAAGAATTAAGGCTTTCCTCTTTAAAGATTGTCTTGATTCAGACTGAAGTTTGGCTACAAATTGTTTCCAAGTCTGTAGAAATTAAATATAAACAATGAATAGTGTGTAAAAAAATGTTTTTCTTACAAAACATTTTTGGAAAAATAATGTAATATTGAAGCACATGAAAAAGGCATCCTACGATCATAGTTTGGAAGGCAACATTGTTAAGATGGCAATACTATCCAGAAAAATCTGCAGATTCAATGCAATCCTGCTCAAAATTCTAAATGCCTTTTTTTTTCAGAAATGGAAAAGTTGATTCTAAAATTCATATGAAATTGCAAAGGATCCCAAAGAGTCAAAAAAAATCCCGAAAAATAAAAACAATGTTGGAGGACTCAAATTTCTTGATTTCAAAACTTATGACAAAGCTACAGTAATAAAAATGGTATGTTATTGGCAAAAGAGTAGACATATAGATTAATGTAATAAAATTAAGAATCCATAAGTAAACTCATAACTTTATGAGTAATTGATTTTTGACAAGGGTGCCAAGGCCATTCAACGGGGAAAATAGTTTTTTAAACAAATTATACTGAGACAATTGGATATTAATGAGCAAAATATAAAGTTGGACCCTTGCCTCACACTATTTACAAAATTTAATTTAAAATGGATCAATGACCTATATATAGGAGCTAAAACTGTTATAAGAAAACAGGAATAATTCTACATGACCTTAGATTTCACAATGGATACTTAAATATGACACCAAAAGCACAAGCAATGACAAAATTATAAATAAATTGGAAATATTTGTGCATAAAAGGATACTATAACAAAAGCAAAAAGGCAGTTGACATATAGAAAGGTAGAAAATACTGGCAAGTCATGTACTTGATAAAGGTCTGGTATCCAGAATACACAAAGAATTCTTCCAACTCATCAACAAAAAAGACAACCTAATAAAAAGGGCAAAGGATTTAAATAGGTATTTCTCTAAAGATATACTAATAGCCAATAAACATATGAAATGATGCTTGACATCATTAGTCATGCAAATCAAAGCCACAATGAGATACTTTACCCCTACTAGATAGCTATAATTTAAAAAATGAAAAACAACAAGTGTTGGCAAAGATGTAGAGAAATGTGAACCCTTTCTGGTGGAAATATAAAATGGTCCAATTGCTTTGGAAAACAGTTTAACAAATTCTCAAAAATTAAAATAGAATTACAATATGACTCAGCAATTCCATTCCTAGGTATATACACAAGAGAACTGAAAACAGGTGTTTAAACAAAGACTCGTTTGCAAATATTCATAACAGCATTATTCATAATAGCCAAAGGTAGAAAGAACCCAAATGTCTGTTAATGATGAATGGATAAACAAAATATAGTATATCCATGCAGTGGAATATTATTCAACCATAAAAAAAAAGAGAAGAAAGTACTAATACATACTATAATAAGGACTTCTATGTCCTTAAGAGAAAGGACATATCTTTCACTTAACTTTCTCTTCTTGCTGGATGAAATTTTGAAGGTGGCAGAGCAACTAGAAAAAAGCAGCCAGGGTCCTCACAGGGATTCTAATACATAATTGTCTGTGCCTAGACTGTGACAGGAGAGAGAAATAAACTTTCATTTTGTTTTAGCAATTATTAGGTCTGTGATATTGCAGCCAAGACTTTATTCTAACTAATATAGTAATCTCCGGTTGGCTTATGTGGTTGCTTCCAGCAAAATGTCATCCATGGAAGTTTATATTACAGAATGATTCAGGATGACATGGAGAAACCAATCACTATCTTGTCTTGAAAACTGGAGGGACTGCAAATGGGACAGCCAGTCATTCTTTGCTCATATCCAAAAGAAAAGAGAATGAGGCAAATGCCAAAGGAAAAAATCAATGTAAAATCAACAAGTACTGGATGCATATCACATTCTAGGCAGGATGCTAGGTGCTAGGAGTAGAGTGGTGGGCAAGAGTGACATAGTCCTATCTCCACAGAACTTGCAGTCTGGCTGGGAAGGTGGACACGGGCTGTGGCAGGGTGCTATGGGAGCACCCAGTAGGACTACTTTACCTACTCTGAGCCCAGGGAGTGAGACAGAGGGAGGGAAAGGTACATGCAGGATGATATGGTGCTTAGTAAAGGTTCCTCAATCTCTGCCTCCAAACTACACAACTTTAACAAGTTGAGTGTAACTTCACAAACATTATCTAAGCTTCTATCATGTGCAAAACTCTGTGTTAAGCCCAGTGAGGGATACAAAGATATATTCTATACATAAATGAATTCAAAATTAAATTTAATAAAGGTTATAGTATGATTAAGCCTCTTAAAAGGGACACATAAAATACTATGGAAGTAAGGAATGATGAACAGAGGGCAGAGTTCCAGAGAGGAGGAAGCTATGTGGAGAAAGGGCTCTAGAAATCTGCATGTGGGTCACCTTGAGTCTTTGGTTGAATATTAATCCAAAGTAAGGCAAGACTCCATGAGGCCGGGCAAAGAATAACTACCATGGAAAGAAAAACTACCTGGGAATAATTAACTGAAAAACTACTGGAGCTCACGTAGTACTAGAAGTTATCTCAGTTCTGACTAGGCAGGACAGGGAGACCTTGTTGAATACCAGGAGCATTCAGCAGAGATTCCAAAAAGGCCATGCCTTGGGAGTAGGGGTAAACTAGCTTCAGAGAATGTCTACAATTAAAAAGACTAATCATGCCAAGTCTTGGTGAGGATGTGGAGCAACTGATTCTCATACATTGTTGATGGGAGTATAAGGTGTTTCAAGATCTCAGGAAGAGGTTTGGCTTTTTTTCAAAAAGTAAAATTAAACACACATTTACTTTATGACCCAGCAATTCTACTGGTAAGTATTTACCTAAGAGAAATAAAACTATGCCCACACAAAGAGCTATACATAAATGCTTATAGGAGCTTTGTTAATAATTACCAAAAATTGGAAATGACCCCAAGTCTGTCAGTGGATGACTGAATAAAAATTTGTGGCTTAGTCATACACAAAATTAAGGATTAAATAAGAATGAATTACTGATATACTAACAAAATGGGAAAAATCTCAAAAATATACTGAGTAAAAGAAGCTAGCCCCAAAAGAGAAGACATGCTATATTGCTAAGAAGATCTAAAATAAGAATACTGATCTATGATGTGAGGAAATAGATTCATAGTTGCTCAGGCTGGGCATGCAGGGCAGTAGTGTGACTGGAAAAGGGACACAAGGAAAACTTGTTGGGCTGTGGAAATGTTGGACATCTTG